ATCTAGGTTTGTTGCTGCTTTTGTCAGTCAACTAGCATTTACTACATAGCTACTATGTGCCAGGCACTGTACCAAGCACTGGGGTCACACAAAAAAAAGGCGAAAGACAAGCCCTGCTCTCAAGGAGTGTTGTCTTTAGCCAGAGAACTAAAGTCTCTCCAGGGCTGAGATAGGTGGCTTTTTGCATTCCATTGTCAAAATTAGTTGATCTGTTTTGGTTATTGGGGCATAATATGAGTAATGATAAGGGCTTGGAAATGGGAGTAATCCTGGAGCAGTTCCTTCATCATCCTGGGGCTTCAGTCATTTAACCTCTCTCATCTTTAAAAGAGGGATTTTATTGTTGTTGTTCAGGTTTGTCTGACTTCTTGTGACCCATCTGAGGTTTTCTTGACAAAGATACTGGAGTGATTTGCCATTTCCTTCTCCAGTTCACTTTACAGAAAAGGAAACTGAGGCAAATGAGGTTAAGTGACTTCCCCAGGGTCACACAGCTAGTAAATGTCTAAGGCTGGATTTGAACTTAGGTCTTCCTGACTTTTGGTTCAGAGCTCTATCCACTGAGCCACCTAGCTGCCCTAACGGAGGGAATTGCACCTACCATGTCGTAGGGTTGTTCTGAGAATCACATGAGATAACCTATAAAAATGAGATCCTTCCTCTGCAAAATGAAGGAACTGGACTAGGTAATCTTCTAGGGCCATCCCATCCACCTGTGACAGTCTATAAGTCTTTGACAAGGGGTTAGCTGCATTACTTGCCCAGTCTCACGTAGTTTGACTTCTGGGTGTCATTTCTTGGCTCTTGCTCTGCCTCCAGCCTCAGAAGCTGGCCCCACAAGCACTTCCTGTAGTGGCAGCTCTTCTCAAACTATTGTTACCATTCAGCTGTGCTCATTAATCCTAACTCTAACAAGTAGATTAGGGTGGTGGTGAGCACAGCAGCAGCTTGTTTGTAGGGAATTATGGTGTTTAAGCACAAGACATCCTGGTGATATATTTCATAGCCACATACATGGAAGGGAGAGGGGGAGCAGGACTTGTAGTTTTGCTGCTGTTGCCATGTTAAATGATTTGGAAACTTCTACAATTTACACCATACGAGATTTCGTACCACCTGTCCTTCGAGACGGCTTAGAAGCCACCTATTCCTGAAAACTTTCCTGTTTTCTTCCCCTCCTTCCCAACCACTATTGAAAACAATCATTTCTAGGGGCAGCTAGGTAGCATATCGGATAGAGCTCTGGCCTTAGAGTCAGGAGGACCTGAATTCAAATCTGGCCTCAGATACTTGACACTTAACTAGCTGTGTGACCCTGGGCAAATCACTTAACCCCAATCGCCTTGCCAAAATTAAAAAAGAAAATTATCATTTCTCCCTTGGATTTTACATAATGCTTATTATGTCTTTATCATGTTCTTTTCTGTCTTGTAGTCATTGTACAATTATTGCATATTCATTTGAATATATATGCCCTATTTCCCTTACTGAATCATAAGGACTATGAGAGAAAGGACCTCAATTTAATTACCTTTGTGTCTTCCCCAGTGCCAACAGTCCTTTGAATGGATTGGGCACTTAATCAATGACAGCAGAATCCAGGAATGAAAAAAAAAGATGCATTTAAATTCACTAATTCAGTTAGATATTTATTGATTACTATACTGTGTGAAGTGTCCTGTGCTAAGCACTGCTACTGATGCAGAAATGAAGTCTATGTAGTTCTTGCCTTTAAGAAGGCTTATACCTTCTTAGGAAAAGTAAGACCACTAATAATCTTTGTTTTTCCATTTTTTTATTCAGTCATTTCAATCATGATCGACCCTTCCTGACCCCATTTGGGGTTTTCTTGGCAAAGATACTGGCAGGTTTGCCATTTCCTTCTCCAGCTCTGAAATCCAGTTGTTGTTATTCAGTCATGTATGAGTTTTTGTGACCCTATTTGGAGTTAGCTAGCACTTATATAGTGTTAAGGTTCAAAAAGAGCTCTTTACAAATGTTAGCTCATTTGACCCTCACAACTACTCTGGGAGTTGGTAGGTGCTACCCCCTTTGTATAAATGACAAAAGTTGGTTAAGTGACTGGCCTAGGGTCACACAGATAACCAGTTTCTGGGGCTCGATTTATATTCAGATCTTTCTAACCCCAAATCTTGCCTTCTATCCACCGCACTACCTAGCTTTGGTATTGACTTCCCTGACACCAACATATAAACTATATAGCTGCCTCCAGCAGATGCATGACTAGAGTGCAAAGCAGAATATGATGAATGCCATGAGAGAACAAGAAAATACCACAGGGGTTCATCATTGGGGGCCATTACAATGAGTTGGGATGGGGAAGGCACCATAAATGAGGGAGGATTTGAGCTGGGCTAGAAGGACTGGTAGGATTTTGACAGGCAGTGATGGGGGAGAGAAGGGACACAGTCTAAGTAGAGACAACTAAACCATAAGCTATTATATGAGCACAGTGATGTTCTTTCAAGAAGTTTTACAATAGCTTAGAGGCAGCAGGGTGGCTCAGTGGCTATAGCACTGGGCCAGGAGTCAGGAAGACCTACATTCAAATGTGACTTCAGACACTTACTAGCTGTGTGACCCTGGACAAATCCTATAACATCCATTTGCCTTAGTTACCTCATCTGTAAAATGGAGATAATAGTAATTCCTATTCCCTTGGGGTTGTTTTGAGGTTCAAATAAGATATTTTGTAAAGGCTTTGCCAAACTTAAAGCTACACAAATACTAATTATTGTTTTATTTTGTTACTACTCTCTAGCATCAACGTCTCTTTAAGAGGCCTTTTAAAGACCTAGTCTGTAGAAGTTTTAGAAGAACAGAATCCAAAGTAGGAATTCCAGGGTTCTGTTCCCTAAGGAATCTTAAGAATAAGGAAACAATAATAATGATGATCATGGTGATAGCTAACATTTATATAGTGCTTACTATGTGCCAGGCACTGTGCTAAGCACTTCAAAATTATTATCTCATTTGATCCTCACAACAACCCTGGAAAATAGGTACTATTATTCCCATTTTATAGATGGGGAAACTGAGGCTACATGACTTCGAGCTTCCATGACTTGCCCAAGGCCACACAAGTAGTATAAGGTAGGATTTGCAATCAGGTCCTCCTGACTCCAAGCCCAGTGCTCTATCCACTGGGCCACTAGCCACTTCAAACTTGGAGGTAATATCCCTAGGTCTGCAGCCTCCTGGCCATGGCACCTTTGAATTAGCCATCTTGTATCAGTTTCTCTACCAGTACACTAAGGTGCTAGAGCCAGGATGCCCGAAGAGGAGCATACAAAGTGTTCTAAGAATCCAGAGAGATAATGCCCTGCCTCCCCCCACCCCCACCCCAAACTGGTCTAAGAATTTATGAATGAAGCTACTTTTGAAGGCATTATCTGATACTAGTATCTTAGAGACATCTCCCTGTTCCCTACCCCTCAACTCTGCATTTTCTGCCTCCTTATTTTCCTTTTGACCCTTGTATTTACCAGTTCCTTCGCCTAACAAAGAGATTCCTGCCTCATCTGGCTCGCCTCTGTCTGATCAGCACCTTCCTAGAGGATGGCATTCATACCTGGTGGCAGTGGAATGAACAAAAGGAGTCCGTTAAGATGTCCTGGGTTAGAAGCTCTTTCCTGGCATTAATTTTTGGAATGATTAATACTTTTGGGCAACTGGGTAAGACTTCTTGCTAACCCAGGCCTCGTCTCAGTGGAGAAAGGTTCCTGGAAGTTGGAGACAGAAAAGTGAGTGGGTCAGTATGTGGGTAAAAGTCTCAGTGGACACATCTTAGGGAGGAGGGGGATGGGCTGAGGAAATGGAGGGAGGAGAGTGAATGCTATCACTCCCAAAACAGGTTCTTCATTCTTTCTATTACAGTGGGATGTGTGTTGATTTTGATCCAGAAGTGCGTTCCTTATGCCTGTTTTGTGCTATTTGGAATCATTTTCACGCAGGTAAGTTAATAGGCAATTGTCTCAGTAAAGATCTCCAAGGAGACTGATATACTTGGAGTAAAAATAGCCTGGGTTCAAGTCCCAGTTCTGCCACTAACTACACTCTTTGTGACTTTGGTCAAGTCACTTCCATTCTCTGAACCTTGGTTTTATCCTCTGTGAAATGAGGGCTTTGGACTGAGGCCTTACCCCCACCAGTTTAAAATCATATGAAACCTATGATGTTGCTGAAAATATTGGCCACCTCACCTAAGCAGACTTTCCTTGCAATGTCTGAGAAACTGACCTTTGTTTAGCAATGTACTTTGCAGTCAAAAGCTGCTTGCCTGACCTTTCTGCTTGCAGAATATTTGCATTACAAATATTGACTTCCCTGACACCAACATATTCTTAGCATAGAAGCTGGCAGGTCCCTTGAGCTGCTTCCAAGAGTCTCTTCCTATATCTCAAAGGTCACCGGAACCTTTCAAGCAACAGTTTAATGGAAAGAACAGACTTTGAGTCAGAAAAGTTTGGGTCCCTGTTTTGCTATTTACCATAATCTAGGAAAGTCCCTTCCTCCATCCAGACCTCGGTTTCCTCATCTGTAAAATGAGAACATTGGATTAGTTGGCTTATAAGGGCTCTTCCAAATTGAGATCCTGAGATCTCCTGGATATACAAAGTATTCCTCTTTTCCTTTCCATGTTTATAAACATCAGTGAATTCAGACGACAGAAGAGCCACATTCCAAAGCTGCCGTTCATCCCAAAGAGTCATATCTGAAGATTCAAGAAGAATAAGGGCCAGTAGGACAAGAGTCCGGCTCTTCTTGTGTCTTCTATTCCCTGCCCCTCAACTCCAGCCATTAAAGGTACTGCTGACTATGCTGGCTTGTTCAGAGCTGGTTCAGAGCATCACAAGAGATAAGGATACTAGCGCAAATATAGAAACCACTTCCCCTTTGGATAAGTGGTCAAAGGAGAGGAGCAAACAATCTTCAAAAGAAGAATCACAAACTATTAACAACTACAAGACAGAATGTTCCAAATCGCTAAAAGAAACGTGAATCAAAACAACTCTGCGGTTTCACCTCACACTCAACAAAATTGGCAAAGATGATAAAAGGTAATGTGAGAGGGCCTGCAGGATGACAGGTTCTCTAATACATCCACTAAGGCTTCTCCGTAGCGCAGTGGATAGAGTTCCAATGGACCTAGAATCAAGAAGACCTGAGTTCAAACTCAGCCTCAGATGCTTCTTAGCTGTAAAGGCTTACACACTTGCCCTAAACAAGTCACTTAAGCTCCATCTGCCATGAATGGAAAATCCACAGGTATTTTATTAATGGGGACGCTAGGTGGCTCAATTGATAGATCACTGGCCTTAGAGTGAGGAAGACCTGGCTTTAAATCTGGCCTCAGACACTTACTAGCTGTGTCACTTTGGGCAATTCACTTACCTGTGTCTGCCTCAGTTTCCTTATCTGTAAAATAAGGACAATAATAGCACCTACCTCCCATGGTTGTTGTGAGGATAAAATGAGATATTTATAAAGCACTTAGCAAACCTTAAAATGCTATGTAAATACAAGCTATTATTATTATCACATACAATTGGTGTAACTTGGAATTGGTCTGCCTATTCAAGAAAACGATTTTGGAAAATCTTTGGGAAAAATCAGCAACCCACACCTTTTGACCCACAAAATCCATTGGTAGAGCATATATACCAAGGAAGTCAAAGATGGAAAGAGTTTGCATTTATCTACAGAAGCACTTTTCATGGTAGCAAAATACTGAGAACAAACTATGTGCCCATCAGCTGGGAAGCAGTTAAACAAATTGAGGTATGTCAATATAATCCTCAAGATTATTTTAAGGAATTCAAAGATTTGAAAAGATTTTACATAGGAAAGATTTATAAGGTTGATACTAAACAAAGAAAGCAAAACAATATATACAATGACTACTAAATAATGCCCCTAAAATGAAGTCAAACGCTATATAATTGTAATAACCAGTCTTGGCTTTGGAGGCAAGATGAGGAAATGCACCTTCCTCCTTTCTAGAGAGGTGGAGGCTATGGGTGCAAAATACTGCATATACAGTCAGATGTAGTCATTGTGTCAGTTGGTTTCATTTAACCATTTTTCTGTTACAAAGCTAGAGTTGGGCACGAGGAGAATGTTTCCATATCTGGAAATTACTGTGATGTTAAAAAAAAAAAGATTGCCAATAAAACATTTAATTTAAAAAAGAAGAAGCAACGAGGATTTGGTGAATAAAACATCACCACTGAACCAAGAAAGCAGAATTGAAGAGCTCCTTTCCCTGTATCTTCTTTGCTCTTGCCAAGGTACTAACAGACCTCACCTTCTCCTTTCACCCATATCCCTGTTTAATAACTCATTGCCAAGACTTAAGAAAACCACAGGCAGTTGGTAATGAAACATGCTGCTTTGTCCCCATAACAAAGAGATGGTGGACAGCAGGTGCAGTGCCTGCCCGGTTGGTCGATTTATTTGGAGTAAAACAAATTTCTTATTTTTCTTTTATTTATGTCATTTATCCTTTATTTTATATTTTAAAATATTTTATTTTATTTATTTTTCTTCATTACAGAAGAGGTTCTGTTGAGGATGCAGAGACACTGAGACGTGATGGTACATTTTTTTTAAGCATCAATAAAACATTAAAAAAAGAAAAAGAAAGAAAAAGAAAACTGATACTTTGTGACCAATCTGAAAAAAGATAACTGATTCTTTGTGTCCAATCAGAAAAAGAAAACTATACTTTGTGACCAATCAGAAAAAGAAAATATGCATTGTATCCAATCAGAAAAAGATAACAATGCTTTGTGTCCAGTTGGAAAAAGGAAATTTGATTCTTTGTGTCCAATCAGAAGAAGAAAACCTATGCTTTGTGACCAATCAAAAACAGTATGGGTATCTTATGCCTCCAAACCTAATCTTAAGATTCCAGGAATAGTAAGATCATACTTCCCTTCCTAGAGCACCCAGTACATCGACCAACATCATATCTCATCAGTTAAGTGGCAGAGGATTGATTCATCTGGTTCCCAAGAGACCCTCTTCACTTTAAAGCCCTTAGAACCTTCAAATGAATGGCAGCATCTTAAGTAAAATCGTGTTGCTGTGATGGTGAGCAGAAGCACTTGAATTGATTGGAGCTCCCCAGGCTAAAGATATCTTGACATCCTCTCTTCCTGCTGCAAGGCCATAAGGCATTGGGATGGTGTCTGGCTGGCCTCACAGATCCCCTCTTATCAATAAAAGGGGAGGATTTCCCCTTCTCTTACTTTTCTTAGGCCCCCTCTTAATTCTTCTGCCTTGTTGCTTAACAAGTATTTGTCCAAATGAATTGTATTAAGGGAAGGAAATGAATTGAATTATTGTACACATTACAATTCGACAATTAGTGGGATAAAAACCCCTCCAAGCTTCCCATGGTCCCTCACAGGCAGCATGTGAATGAGTAATTGTGAACAGATGCTCTTTTTGTTTTGTTTTGTTTTGCTTTTTAAAGTCCATTCTTTATTAGAGGATTTTTGTAAAGGATGGTCACACATAGCCAGTGTTGAGTGGGAATCTGTTCTTGAATTAATTTTTCCCTCTTTTTGTAGGTCATGGCCTATGGCCTTTTGTGGAACCTCAGATTCCTGATGAGGTAAGTGAGATTAACTGTTGGGGATTGTCTAGCACGCTCAGGGCTGCCATGGGTGAATCAGTCATGGAAGAGCAGAAGGCCTGGCCTTTGGGGAGTGGAGCCAGAAGGGAGGGACAAAGCAGTTATTGCATGGATAGCCTGAGCCTGGGCATACTTAATGTGATGCTCCTTTCACCAGAAGGTGGCCATGTGTATGGATGCACAATGGACTTTCCCTAGGGACCATTGCAAAACTGGGCATTTTCCAGCCTCTGGGTGATCACTTCTAGCTCGAGAAGGGGAACAAATTGGGGTTTGGGTCATATATGCCTTTCCTGTCTCTGTCATCACAATTTCAAGAGCAGCTCCGGAAAGCAGCTTTCACACTCAGTTTAACAAATATCTATTGAGCTCCCAACAACAACAAAAAGATTTTAAAGCCCATCGAGCCCGATCCGATTATTTTACAGATGAGGAAACTAAGGTTTAAAAAGATTTCATAGCACCAAATAGTCACCTTTTTCCTGAACAACGAAAATAAATAGAAACATTTTCCAACATCTACCCACTCTTAAACTGGAGGTGTTTGGATGGCCAAGAAAGAATGTGTCTACTCAACTGCCCTGTCTGAGATCAGGAATAAGGCCAGTGTGGAACTTTCTACCAAGGATTTACTTAATTTTGTTGAACATTTTCATTTGTCGCGTGTTTCTACTTTGCTGGATTTGAGCTGCATGACATCTTGCTCTCCTTTTTTCCCCTTCTGCTCCCTTGTTTTCCTAGGAATATTGCTTTGGGTGGTGGTCTGCTGTTCCTCTTAGCAGAGAACCAGGGAGAAGTGAAGTCCATGTTTGCTGGTGTCCCCACCTTGGATTGCACCTCTCCCCATCGGTACATTCAGCTGGGAGGAAGGGTTCTTCTCCTCCTCATGTTCGTATCACTCCTACACTTTGAAGTTAGCATGTTTACTGTAAGTGACTTGCAGATTTCTCTTTCATTCCCCTTTCCTTGACCATTTATCCATTTTTTTTCAACATTTCAGAGCCTTGTCCTATCCCCATAGTAGTCAAACAGGCTTCTGTTTCACCCTTGTCCCTTTGATTTTTCCAATTACTTCCCTTCTCCTGACACATTGCTATTATTTATTTCACTTTTTAGTTCAGCTCATCCCTTTTGTCTGTCTACATATATTAGCAAAACAGACATATAGAGAAGTCCATTAGGGCTTTAAGATTTGGGGGGAGGCCTGTTCAGAAGACTGATCAGAAGGATTTGCCTCCTGTTCCCAACATGGCCAATGCCCCTCACCATGATAAGGGAGATTGGCCAGTAGCTCACCCATACTTAAATTAACCCAACTGCCAGCTTAATACAAGTTATGTTACAACCCTCATAAATGTATCACCCTCATATCCTCTGAAGAACACACTACAGGCTATTAAGGCCTGTAGCCCATGTTCTTTGGTCTTGTTTATTTCAGGCCATAGATATTTATGGGGGCCATGTAGATTTGGGCCATTTAACACCATAGCCCATTGAGTCTTTCCAGTTATATGGCTTCTTTCATTATCCTATGGGGCTGATCTGTCTCAGAACTAGCAATATATTCTAAAATCAACCAATTAGTTGTGCAATCAGAGCACTGTTCTGTGAATCTATTTCTCTTCTCTATTTCAGTCACCCACAATTTCATTAGAAGTGTCACTGTCTTCTGTGAATTTGGGAAATAAAGCCAAAGGCAATGCCATCTTTTAAGTAGGCTTAGCTTTAGGAGGGTGGGGATACACTCAAGGAGTCATTAGGCTGATTATGTTTCTTTCATGTCCCTTCCTATCTTGCTGCTTAGATCTTCCAAGATGTCTTCAACATGGTTCTCATTATCCTGGTAGCCACTGGGTTCAAAACAAAACTTGCTGCCCTCACTCTTGTGATCCGGCTTCTCCTTATCAACCTGTTAGAGAACCCATTTTGGACCATCCCTGCCAACAGGCCCCTCCATGATTTTATGAAGTATGACTTTTTCCACACCATGTCGATAATGGGAGGCCTTCTCTTGGTAGTAGCCTTTGGACCTGGAGGATTTTCAATGGATAAACACAAGAAGAAGTGGTAAATATCACAGCAAAATAATGAGTAATAAAAGAGATGGGTCTATTGCATTTTTTACTTTTAACTCCTTTCTTGGGGAGCAGAGGAGAGTGTGGCCCCCTATATACTCATACGTCTTCCAAACATCTCTTACAACTGTCTGCTGCCTCAGCAGAGCAGTTTTTGTTTCTTTCCCTGGGCTAGACAGAGATGCGTATAAAGTGGATATCTGGGAGTCGTTCTGCGTTGAGATGATTCTTGAACACATATGGGAACAGATGAGATCATCAAAGAGAGGGTCTAGAGACAGAAGAGAAGAGGACCCAGGACAAAATCTTCCCCTTGAGGAAGATTCTACAATATGGATGATGATTCAGTAAAGGAGTAATCTGGCCCTTTACCATCTTATGCTGGGACTTTATTGAAGAAATTTTGTTAATTCCATGGTATTGTGAGAGCTCTATGTACTCACATGGGCCACAGGGAGATGTTCAGTCTTCATTCCACTTTGTGAACCTAAAAGAACTGATAGTACCATAGGCACCCAAATTATGTGTTATCAGGATTGGGTATATATCCATTGCGGCTATCATTTTCCTTGTTTTCTATGGAACTCTATGTCTGGGGACCTCCTTTTTGGCTAACTTGGTAGAATCCAGTCCCTATTGGTCACAGAGCTATTATGGTGGTCCCTTTCTGGAGATCAATTTGAAAACATTAAGCCTGCATATATGCCTATGTCCTTCAGTACCAATTAACTTATTTTACAGGGCTCTGCAGCAACTCAGGACTTTCCCCCTCCCTTATCCCCCATAAAGCTTTCCTTCGTAGTTACTTATCACCAACCTGTCCAGACTTAGGTTGCCATCATTTTCATTTGCATAAGTCACATTGGCTGTTGTTAGTCACCTGTTATTAGCCATTGAACAGAACAAAGTATCCCATGCACAGCAGATCCACAGCTGCCTCATTATCCATGAAAGCTCCAGTAAGTTGGCTTTTGTTCTGACCTCTGCTCTGCCCAAATGGAAGGACTTCAAGGAACCTATGGGAATAAAGCAGCTTCTCATGGGAAAAGGTGGGAGAAGAGGCATCAGAGGTCTGTGGACCCAAGGGCTTTTCTGGATGGATTCAGTTATCAAAGTGTGTTTTTGAACAGTTTACTAGAATCGGATTCCCTTTGAAAGCAGCATAAAGAGATCCAAAGGAAATTCAGCTAAAGAAACTAGGCCAGGAGTTTTCTATGTTGCTTAGCACATAGTAGTGCTATGTGCCTAGTATGTAGTGGGCACTTTATAAATCCTAGTTGACTGTGTAAAATAGGTGTTGCATATATGTGTGTATGTTTATATTCACACCACCTCAGGTTTATATAAGCCTGTTTTGTATAAGCCAACTATCAACAAAGGCAGAGTCTCTGGCTTATTGGCAGGAAGATCTAACCATTCAGTATCAAAAACCTATATTTAGTATGCTATCTAGATGCAGTAAACATGTTGACATTCACTTTTGCTCAATATTTCCTGTATTAGGTGATCTTGTCTCTGAAAAAGATTAATAGGCAAATATAGAGGGTTAAAAATGGCTAGTCATACATCACAAACAGGCAAGTTTAGAGGAAAGACAGTTTTAGGAGGGGAAATGATGAGATCCATTTTAGACATAGAGAGCTTAATAATAGCTAGCATTTATAATGCTTAACACAGTGCCTATATACAGTAGGTGCTTAGTAAACTTTAAGGATTGAAAAGCACTTTACAAGTATTATTTCACTTTATCCTCACAACAACCTTAGGAGATAAGTGATGTTATGATCTCCATTTTACAGTTGAGGAAACTGAGGCAGACAGAAGTTAAGTAACTTGTCCAAGGTCAAACAACTAGGACCTGAGGTCAGATTTGAACTCAGGTCTTCCTGACTCTGGGTCTAGCACTACATTCACTTGCACCATGAGAGGAAACAGCCAGCAGATGGAAGAAACTGAAGATGAAGATGAGGGAATCATTGTTGAAGGAAATGGGAGGGGATGGAGGGCATGGGCAGAGGGATTCATTTTGGCAAGGAAAAGGTCCACAGGAGGAAAGAATGGATGAAGATGAAGAGGACTCTCATGACAGATGACTTCAATTTTTTTCAGTAAAATAGAAATTGAGGACATTTACTGAGAGGGAAAGGGGAGGCATTGAGAGACAGAGATAAAGTCTGGAACAGCTCCTGAGAGAAGGATATACAAGTTTTACCACGCCACAGCAAAGATCAAGTGAAGATTAGATGACTTTGGGTGACACCCTGTTAACAGGGTGAGACATAGATGATCTCCAAACATGGAATTTGTATTTGATCCAGTCAGAAGCACATGAGTAGGAGCAGAGAAGGAAGACAGTGACAGTGATTCAGGCCTGAGAATTAATGTGGAATGAATGGTAACAGAACAGGTGGTCAAGGGAGCCAAGGCTGGAAGAAACAAAATTTGGCCAAGATCACTTTAGACATGATTAGATATGTAAGTTAAGAGAGAGTGAGTAGTGAATGATAACACTGTGGTTAAGAACCTGGATGATTGGAAAGATGATAGTCCCTCAACAGCAATAAAGAACTTCAAAAGAGGGGGGGAAGGGGAAGGAGGGAATGAGTTCTGTTTTGGACATGTTACATTTGAGATGCCTATAGGACCTACAGTTCAAAATGTCCTGTAGACAATTGGTGATACAGGAATGGACCTCAAAGCCAGTCAGTTTCTCCCTGTGGTCTATGGTATTGATTTCTCAAAGTCCATTAGTACAAAATGAATAATACTTGTCTTGGTTTAAATCAGAAATGAAAGATCCAGCTGCTATGTGCAAGGTTAGAGGTACGCACTTCCATAAGGCTGGCACCCGGAAACACACTGCACATAGAGGAGAGGCAGCCAGGTGTAGCAGTGGGTAGAATGCCCAATATGGAGTCAGGAAAATCTGTGCTTGATTTCTGCCTCTGACACCTACTATTTGGGTGACGCTGAGCAAGTTATTTAATCTCTCCGAGCTTCAGTTTTCTCTGCCTCGGTTTTCTCACCTATAAAATGGGGATCATAATAGCACCTACCTACCAGGATCATTGTGAGGATAAAATGAGATATTATCTGTAAAGCGCTTTGGAAACTTTGAAGTGCTATACTATATAAAGTGATATATACATATATATATATACACATATATATGTTAGTTATTAGGCAGAAGTGCCTCCTTCACAGGGTTATGAGGCTCAAATGTGATCATATATGTGAAGAACTTTACGAACTTGAAAATGAGACATAAATAAGCTATTTTTTAAAAATATGTACTTAAGAATGCCCCACTGCTCTATGCCACAGGCATTTGTCATTTTCAAAAATCTGAATGAAAAGTATAAGGGAATAAAAGGGAGACTTCTTATTTGAGATACTTTTTTCTCCCTTTAAGTAAATAATGTATAATCAGCTTACTGTAAAATATTTCTAACTGAACAAATAAATTGCATTAAATGTCTTTAACAACTTATCAGTCACTCCCTCTGAAACACCTTTAGCTTTCTATTTGGGGTATATGCACAATACTCTCACTAACTGGTAGGTGATATAATCTCTACTCAAAGTCTTCCAATTCCAAGTACATGGATACTGATGGTTTAATTTGTAAGACAGCTTTGCTCTGCTGGTTTGAACCCCCATTGGCAGCCTCCTAGGAGCTAGGTGGAACAGTGGATAGAGCACCAGGCCTGCAGTAGGGAAGATTCATCTTTGTGAGTTCAAATCTGGCCTCAGGCGCCTACTAGCTCTGTGACCCTGGGCAAGTCATTTAACCCCCTTTGCCTCAGTTTCCTCATCTGTAAAATGCGCTGGAGAAGGAAAGGGCAAATCACTCCAGTATCTTTGCCAAGAAAATCCTCCAAATGGGTTCGCAAAGTTAGACACTATTGAAACAACTGAACAATAACAAGAAGCCATATATTTTCAACATGCATACCTATACATTTTTCCTTTCATATATTCATAGCTAGTATATTTGTGATTCTAATTCTTCATGTCAAATAAAGATCTTACCAGACTTCTTGATGGCTTGCATACTTAATCATATTGCATAGTAGTCTATATTATCAAAGGCAGCTAGGTAGTACAGTGGATAGAGCTCTCAACCTGGAGTCAAGAATACCAGAGTTCAAATACTACCTCAAGCAATATTATTATCTGTGTGGCCCCAGACAAGTCATTTAACCTCTACTGGCTCCTCACCTATAAAACAGGGATAATAGGAGCACCTACCTCCCCAGGTTGTTATGTGGATAAAATCAGATATTTGTAAAGCACTTTGCAAATCTTAAAGTACCATATAAATGCTCATGAATATTATTATATCAAACCCTATTCAGCCATTCTCCAGTTGTTGAACTTTTAGGCCTTTTCCAGTTTTTTGCAATTACTAAGAATACGGCTATAAATATCAAACAGATAGCTGTCCTTTTTTTCCTCTTTTAGATAAAAGGAAACTGGCCAAATGTTTATTTGCCCTTCACACATGAGATGAATATCTTCTAACGTCCATATTTTTAGAGTTCCTTTAAATTTTTGCCTACAGTCCAACTAGAAAATGTTATATATCATCTGAGACATGGATCTAAATTTATTTTCTGCCATATTGTTAACCAGTTTTTCCAGCCAAATTTACTAAATAATGAATCATTGCCCCAGTTTTTTATTTTGTAGATTTCATCAAACATTAACTTTCTGTATTTATTTTAGATTCACACCTCTGATCTTTGATCTCTACCATTGATCCATTTTTAACATTTTCCCCCCAGTGCCAGATAGTTTTAAAAAACTGCTTTTGTAATCTATTTTAAAGTCTAGAAGTGAAAACCTACCTAGGTCAATTTCTCTTTTTCATTGTGTGCTTTGAAATTCCTGCCCGTTTTCCCAAAGTGCGCTTCGAACATTTTCTGAATGGTGTTTAAAAAAAAAATCACCCGGGACAGGATTCTCTCATCTCTCCCTTACAGCTTCTCTAGGCCTAAGAAC